ATCACCCCGACTTGAGGATCTTCCTCGTCGAATGTACGCACCAAAATGTCATCGTCACTTGACGAACCATCGCTGTCAACCTGACGACGTCCGTCGCCACCTTTGGGAGCTCGCGCACCGCCCCGGCGACCGAACGAGCCCTCGCTATCAGCGTACACACGTTGCATACGGCTCTCCGAACGTGGCGTAACCATGTGCAAGTCTTGAAGTACGGCGAAGCTTCGGTAGTGTCAAAGGCACCGCGCTCAGCTCTACGCTTGGTCGAAGGAGTATGGTCGAGTCGTTGGGGTGTCTGCGGCAGCAGAATCGTGGACGGATCTTCATCATGAATGATCAGTCGGCTCACAGGCTGCTTTCCAGCGTTGATGCCGACAGCGCCAAATGCCTTCCGAGGCTTCTTCTTCCATATCTGGAGAGCAGCTCCGGCTTCATAAGGACTCCAATCTTGAAGCGACATCGTCGATGGGTACGTCTCATTCTCGAAGCCCAGCGACAACAGTAGCGAAACTGAATCCTCGGCAACTTGACTAGTCGACACCGAGTTGACTGGGTATTGAAGTTCCCTGCGCAAGCGCAGGCCCATTCAAACTTTCTCTTGGGGATGGGCTTGAACAGTTGCGTTCACTCATCATTCTGCATCAGCGCTTGTACACGGTCGAAAACGCGCTTGGCGGCTTGTGTATCACCGTTGATAGGTGGGCGAGGTGCCTTCAGCAATGCTGAATGCTTTGCACTCGCCACCGAAGGTTTAGAACCCTCGGTCCCATCGTCATAGTCTTCATAGACCGGTTCTGATCCCGCAACGTCATCAAGGTCGTCGGCGAGGCTCCTCGGAAGAGACCTGGTCGCCCCGTTCAGCCCCGATGATAGCGTGGCCGTCTCCGGTGTCGCTGCGCCTGGCTCTGGAGCCGGCGTCTTGTCTTCGTAATCTTCATAATCGTGGGTGTCAGGACCGCTGTCCGCCTCGTCGTCAAAGCTCACCCGAAAGTTCGGTGGCGGCTGCAAAGCGTGCAGCCGGACTTGAGCTCTCGTTGCGAGTTCCACCAGACTTGGCAGGCGTAGCTGGTACCGTCGGTTGTCCTTTCACCATGTTTCTTGTTTTCTTTTTCTTGTTCTTCTTATTTTGGTAGTCGTAAACTGGAAGGCCATACAAACAGTTTACAATGGTCACAATCTATTCCCGGGTCGCAGCACCAGTTGTGGTGTTGGAATTCCCACGTGAACTCTAGCTACAAATGTAGTTAGGACGTTCCCACAACAATACGTCTACTAGGATAGAAAATGATCGCTCGGGCGGACCTGAAGACCCCAATTCTGCCCTTGCACCGGGACAAACTGGACCTTGTAAACTACTTATATAGGCCAACCAGTAAAACTAAGAACACGCTACTAGCACGAGCAAAGCTAGCAGGTGTTATGAATCCTCGTGGTCCCAACAGCGGAAGGGTACGAGGCACAGGTAAGCCTTTTACGAGATCACCGAGTGCTCAACACTCGGTTGGAAGAATAAAAGGGATGCAATACAAGCACTCCCGGTCGTGCAAAAAGGCAACAATAAGCCGTCACGTAAAACCTCCCGATAGTAATCGGCCAAAATCCACAGTCTCTTGGCCTTACCGGATGAACCCTCGCTACAGAGCTTCGAGTTCACCGACCGGCATAACACACTCAAACAAGCTTGACCAGACGCTTACCTTGAAGCCGGACATCGCTCTGTGTGCTTGAGTGGAAATTCTGCTCTGTATTTATGTTTACCCTTTCGGGTTTATTCCTAATAAGAAGTCCTAATCAAGTATACAAATATCGAGTGAACAATGATCCGTTATGGATCTTCTTGCACACCAAGCGTCGTCTGCACCGTCGCATGAGCATCTTTAACGGCTCGCGCCCTGTCCCAGACGGTGAACGCGCCTTCGAAGAGTCGCTGGGTCTTCCGCGATCTTATCCCAACCGCCACCGATGGTTCCTCCCGTAGATGGTCAGTTCTTGGCCGCTGAATGCGAATCCGGTCAGTCCATTATTAATAATAAGGACAGCCTGGATTCAGTGACATAGGACCGTTTCCAATATCCGTTGAGAGCTCGGTAGTGACGCCGTCGAGTCTCTTGCATCTTGGAGTCACTGTACGTCACGTGACCGAGGGCTCGTCGCTTGAACATCCTGGGCGGTGGCGCATCTTTGTCTACGGGTGATTATCTGGAGAAATCACTACACCACATATGGTTTAATAGTGGGGTCGCCGTCTATATTATCGTGTTATCTTATGGTGCCGCAGTTGGTCGGTCGCTCGTTTCATCATGAGCTACCGTAGTACTGCTCTCCCTGGCTCGGTGAGCTCCCGTTCTACCCTGGTATCGTATTTCAATGTTCGATAATCTCCCGTTTATGATCTTCCGCGGCTTCATGTTTGGTCCATCGACCGTGCTCCGTGCTACAAAGTGGTGTAAAAGAATAATCATTTTTCCGTGCGTTGTCACAGTTACGTGCTCTACTATGGGGTGTCAATATTTCAGCTCTCTTCCGTGGTCCGTACGCTCTCGTCATACGTTTTTCCTCCTCATTTTTCAAAGTAGCGCGCTCTTTCGTGGTTCGTGCTTTTCAGAATTGTTAGGCGCCTTCATTGATTTAGTCCTATTTCATTGTCTGTGGCCTTCGTGCTTCGTGCTGTTTCTTCTATTATATCATGTACATGGTGTTCCCCGTGTTTAGTGTTCTTGCCTAACCACGTGCCTCCGCGCTAATTTAATCACAAACACTGCTTCCAGTGTCTTGAAGGTACGCTACGTATCGTGTTGGGAAAAGGGCACATTCTCTAAAGGTCGCACTCTACGCGCGCAAATACAAAGGAGACGATATTTTTTTTCGTGGCGGTGGAATGGGGTGAAGGGTGGGAGGCCACTTTACACCTTAGAAGTTTGAGTAATTAGTATTAGTAGTAAAGTTGTGTTTTTTATCTAACACAATCATGTATAATACTACTACAAAAGATTACAAGCAAGTACTTAAAAGAAACTGTAATAGTATTAAGCAAAACAATCGTGTAAGTAAAACTACTAAAACAATACTACGAAGCTTAAAACATTATATTTTTTACAAAAGTACTGAGATGACTATTCAAGGCTTAATATGGGCCGCCAGGGCCCACAATTTCTATTAACAGCTTGTGCAACCATACATTGCGTGAGCGCTGATCGGCGCGGCCTACTAATGCTAACTAACGCTCACACAGGCAACGCCCTTTGCGTGAAGTGGCGCTCCGCGGAGACAAAATGTTCTTTTAGCGATGCATTGAAGTACGATACCAATGTCGACACAATGTAAGCACCACAAAATGTCAGTTTTAGCCAGTTACGACTCCCTTCGCTGCGCTCGACAGCCAGTAGAAGGCACGTATTAGCGCTACCCTCGGACGGACTTACATACTTGCAAACCGCTACATTGTTGCCTGGGGCTCCCGTTCGGTGCTCGTCCCGCCCTCGCACGCGCCCTTCTTGTCGCCACCGCTCCACTTTTCGAAATGGGGCGAAAAGAAAGAAGCGCAAATAGCAATCCGCGGGTGGTAGTAGTATTCAGTAGTATTTATCCGAAGATTTGGCTCAATATCAGCCAGTGACCGGGGCCGTCTTCGCTTCGCTCGGAAGCTTTTTGCCCAGTGAGAAGTGCGTATTTGTGCTACGGACGAAGTCACCGACTGACAGACACGTTAGTAGAGTTGTGTTTTAGACTAGCTCGTCCCGCAATCGCACGCGCCCTTCGTGTCGGCGCCAGGGTTCGCGGTCGATGGGACAGGAATAAATGGGATATGGTATATTCCATAAACCACCCATCGTTACTCAGAATAAGGAATAAACCACAAGAAAGCCAACCACTGGCTGATGTCCTTTCTTTATAGGTGTCTTATACTTTGTAACTAACTAAAGCTTTATCTACCTATAAATATACTAAGCTTACATTCTACCTCAAATTGGTCACTTTGCTCCCTTCCTTTCAGAACCCATGTGGGTTTTTGAGACAAGCTTCCTTATCAAGCCGTAGTATCGGGGGAGGGGGGGTAATAAACACTGCACTACCCTGTATGCGCAACCTTGGTTTCAACTCCAGGACCAAAACACACTAGGATTACTGAGCGTGTTCGCTACTTCTCTATAAATGTCCTGCTTCGTCGTTCGTAGTATTAATGCGTAATTCTTTTAGATGATTAATTCTCTACTAGCATGTAGAATCGTTCCTGAAAAAGGTAGCGGTCGCGGCCAGGGCTAGTACAACAGCAGGTGAATCTTGCCTACCTAATTCTCAGTGTACTTGGGCAAGTACGTTGCAAGCCCAAGGCACTGCCTCGGTTCCTTTACTTTGGATGGACTAGGCCATTCATTAATCACTCTGACCTTTTCTGGGTCAGGGCGTATGCTGTTCTTCCCGACGAGACATATGGGTATGTCGCTCGCCCCGAAGGTACACTGCTTCAGGTTCGCATAGAGCTTCTGTTTAATAAGTGATGCTATCGCGTGACCTGTTATGATCTGCTTCCTAACCCACAATTCTAAAGGCATTTGCAAGAACTTGGGTTCTACATTACAAGATTCAATTTTGAAAAAAAAATCAAATAATTCCATAAATGTCAGTCGGTGACTCCGTCCGTTGCTCAAGTACGCACTTCTCACTGGACAGAACTATCCGAGCGAAGAGAAGGCGGCCCTGGTCACTGGCTGATATTGAGTCAAATCTTAGGATAACTATTACTGAATACTACTACCGCCCGCTGATTGCTATTTGCGCTTCTTTCTTTCCGCCAATTTCGAAAAGCGGAGCAGCGCCGACCGGATTCTTAAATCCCACCTCTTTGGCGGAAGGGATGACATAGTGGGTGGGAGGTATAATGTTTTTTTTTGGGTTTAATTACTGACAGACACGTCAGTAGAGTAGTGTTTTAGATTAATGTTTTTTGTTGTTATTTAAACAAGAAAAAAGAAAACAGAATATTTTAAATATACTGCAATTGAAGGAATCGGGAGCAAGGAGCAATGACGGGTATGACAAGGTGCGTTGCGGCCGCTCCTGCGCCGCGTGATATGGACTCATGCGTCTTCATCCTTCTCTTGCGTAGAGTGGTGATAATCCAGGATGTCAACATTACACAGAAGTATCAGGAACTGCTGCGCAAGCTGGAGACAATGGGTGGGGAGAAGATCGGCCGGCATGTGGTGCACTGCCGTCTCTTCAACCGCAAGACTCTCACGGGTAAGCGAAGATGGTAGAGCTGCCTGCTAGTGGATCAGTCTATCGGACTGACATATTACTGGTTTGTAGATGGCTACATCAATCAGCGCATGTTCATGCTAAGAATGTCCCAAAATGATGATCTGGTGTACGCCGCGTTGGCCAACGAAAAAGCACACGGTATAGCACCCAGCGATAATGGAATTGAGGGGCTCGTGGAGGACTGTTCGCTGCTGGAGTGCGGGTTGGACGGAGCTAACATCCTGCAGCAGGTGGAGATCTACGCCTTCAAGTCGGACGGACAGTTTGAGGTACAAGTACAGTCAGTCAAGTATGGGCACGTGAGCAAGATGCTAAAACCGAGTTTTTGTTATAACGCAGGGCACACAGTATGTGGTGGGGGACTTTGTGGTGAGTGTATGCACGTTCATGTCCCGCAATAACCTTCCACGAGGTCTCATCATCGAGGTTCAGTACTCGCCGTGCTACACGGTATCGCACGTGGACATGCTGATCGACGAATTCCTAGGCAACTTTGCCTCACACGAACATCTGCGTAAGCCTGTTGATAATATGCAGGCTCTCTTCGAGAAGGTGGGGCTACCGACCAGCGAGTACAGCCTCAAGCATACGGCATTGCAATACGTCGCCGCCTTCAACATCCTTCGCAAGTTTGAAAAATAAGAGCTATTGACACAAGGCAAAACCTGCAAATAAAAAAGAACAGACACATGAACCGAATGGTTGAGACTCGACCGATTAAGATGCGAAGAATGAATTTGTGCAGATTAACGACTGCAAAAGTTATCCCTTTATCTAAGACGAGGCACTGGGGGAGATGGCGCTGCCACCCAGAGAGGCTAGAGGACTCGCACTCGAGGAACCAGGCGCCACTCCCCCTAGACACGTGCGAGCCACGTCATCAAACACTTCCTTGATCTCGCTCGAGCACTCGAGGTAGTCCTGCTCCCAGAACTTGTAGCTCTTGTTACGGATCAGCTCGATAAAGGTCACCAACAGACCCCACGGGTGTGGGCGGTTGGCGATGAGACGCTCGATTAACACACGCGTAATCTGCTCCTTAACCATCTTGTTGTTCGAGTACGAGAACAGGTACAGGATGACGCAGCTGAAGTAGTGCGTGTGGCTGTTTGGGTAGCGTAGATGGTTCGCCAACGAGCTGAAGTACCAGTAGCGGCCTTCAGTGTCTAGCTCATCCGCCAGGTAGCGGAACACATCCATGGCCGCGGTCTGCTCAAACTTACTGGTCGTGCTAGACTTGTCATCAGCTACAGATGACGTTACCGGCGCATTCGTCGGCGTCGAACCTCCGTTGGCTATGTCGGCAATGCCCTCCTTGCCCAAGTACAGCACCAGCGCATTGAGAGCAGGCAGTGCGTACTTGCACGACGTCGGGTCGCGTTCCAGTTGGGCAGCGGGACGCATCAGCTTCGAGATGAGATCGGCGGGGAACACCGAGGCGCGGTTCGCTGTTGCGTGCAAGAACTCGTCGACTTCTTCCTTGATACCGTTGTGCGAGAGGGCAACTCCCCATGCAGGCATTAGTCGCGGGGCCACGCTCACTTCAGGAAGTTGGGAAACCTGAAGTCCCAATGTTAGCGGGTCGGGCAGGCGCATCGTGCGCGAGAACGCCGACAGGATCACGTTACGCAGCTGAACACAAGTTGCAGGCAACACGTCACAGAAGCTCGTGTAAAAATCGCTCAGAAAGTCCGGGTAATCGTGCAAGAGCACCAGAATGATGCGCACCACACCCTTGTAGAGCGCAGCAATAGAGTCTGGGAGCGACATGTTCGAGTTCGCATGACGCAAGAATGGCTCCATGAACACAAGCAGGTTCATGAGCAGACGGTGTAGAATCTGCCAACCGCGCTGCTGCTTTGCGCGCAGTAACAACGGCATGAAGCAGCGGTGAGAGATAAGCTCCGTCCAAGCAAACACGAAGCCAGGAAGTCCCATAGGTTGCAGTGTGTTGTACGCGCTGGCAAACGTGTTGAGGACCTGGAGGTGGATAGCATCCAAAGCCGGTTCCTGCGCCGTCAACTCCTTCATAAGGTTCACGAACATACGGAAGAAGACGCGCTGGTCAAATGGGGCCTTTTTCTTCCGCGACAAGTCGTGGGCTGCAACCAGCACATTGGCAATAGCACCCACGGCATGGTTCAGCACTTGAAGCTTGGCCGCGGGCGATGGGTCAAGGTACTTGACAAGCAGCGCCATCAGGTGCGTGAGGGCGTCCAGCACCGCGTAGTTCAATGGGACCTTCGCACCAGCCTTGAGCGCAGCAGGGTCACTCGCAGCAAAGGAGCTCTTGAGACATGCATCCACGCACAGCTCCGTACCGAACCTGAAAAAGAGCGATACACTTTCGTCATCAGCAAGCAATCCGTACTGCTTCAACATCTGGAGATACTGAGCATGCATCTTCGAGTTGCCCGTCGGCTCCTTGTAAATGGCGATCCAGTGCTCCAGAGCGTTGCTCACGGTGTGCTTGAATGCTGCGTGTTCCTGTACCAGAGGTCGCTCTTCGGTAGCCTTGGAAGCGCCACTGCCAATTGCCCCCATTGTCTTCTGTGGTGCTGGCGTTGCTGGGCAGTTCTGGAGTTTTTGTACACGCGCCTGCTCCAGGAGTGCAGCGAGGATCTGCACATTCTTGTTCGCCGAAGCTCCTCCATGTCGCTCCACAATGCGGGCAAGAGCTTCTAAAGTGTTCGGCAGTTGAGTAGCGACACCAACGTGCTCCATTATAAGACACTGACGGACAACATGGACTGCAAACTCGATGGCCACGCTGTTGCGCTCCATGTTGCGCGCCAGGTACACGTCAAACTCACTTGCATCCACCACCTTGTAGCGGATAAGCGCCACGATAATTTCACAGTGTAGCTTCAGTTTATCGTCCACAGGAGCGCGCAGCACCCACCCCACAATCTCCTTGCGAAGTTTCTCGCAGTTAGCTGTCAGAGCCTCCAACGAGCTCACAAGAATCTCCAAAAACAGCTCGTTGCCTCGACCACCGTTGCCTAACTCGTACATAAACTTCACAATTCGGTTCGCAATCTTCAGACAGGCTTCATCGCGCAGAGCAGGTCGAACGCTCCCACCCAAAGCACGAACCTCACGTAAAACAGCAAAGACCTCGCTTTCTGCCGGAATCGCCAGCAGCGATGGAAGCTCACGCTGAGCAGCCGCAGCCTGGCGAGCCACCTTCTGCACGAACAGCTCGAAGCGCTCCAGCAATCCAGCAAAGCGATCCAACGCAGCAGTTACACTCACACCAGCAGTATCACCCTCCTTATCAATAGCAGCGCCAGCGTATGCGGCAGCACCCGGACGAGACGAAAGCGGCATGGAATTGGGTCGTGGGATACGCTGGAAGGCCTCGTAAACCACAAGCTGCATGGGTGGGACTCCACCTGGCTTGGGCTTGAAAATGTCAGGCAAGGCTGCAGGCCATTGGCCACTAGGAGCACCTGGAGAACCAGCAGATACTGCAACTGCCGTACTGCTAGCGCTTCCCTCAAAGAAATGCACTCCGTCCAGTGTCTTTCCAGCCTGTGCTTGCTGCTGCTGGTAGCGTCGACGTGATGCATAGGCACCGGCCAGAGCCTCATCAATGTCACGCATGGCTTTCTCCGACGACGCCTTCTCAATCAGCATGCAGCCTAGGTCCGTGTTCTCGTTGGAACAAATCTGGATCACATGCTCAAGCTGCTGCGGGTCCCCAGCGCTGGAGGGAAGCAGCGCACGCAGATGGGTACCGATAGCATTGCGAAGCGGCTCCTTCGCTGTGATGAGTGCTAATGATCCCGACATCGACGCCACCATTAGATGAGCCGCCTTACGCATCTTCGTGTCATCACATTCCGTAGCAAAATCTTTCAGAATCACCTCACGAGTGGTAATGCACGCAATTGTTACACTGCGCTCCACCACAGGCGAAATTACCTCGCGAATAGCGCGATCTACGGCTAGAGGTACCAGACGGCGCAAATTCACGTTGCGCAGCGGTAGCTCAGGGTTCACGGCAACATACGAGGCCAGGTTTGGAATCACTGTCGACTCGGCAGCTGCAGCTCCAGTATTGCTTGTTCCAAGCCCGTAGCCCGCCACTCCTTCTCTTCCAGTGGGGCTACCAGCAGGTGCGAACCCGTCGCCTGGCTTCTTCATCTTGCCTGGTGTTAGGGGTCGGCTTAACTTGACTCCCGAGCCAGGAGGTGGTGTGGCAGATCGCTGTCCCACCATCGAGTTCTTGGGGACCTTAACGTTGAAGTCAGGGTTGGCCGTTCGAGGTGGAGCACGACGCGTATGCAAGAGCTGCGCCTTGCGCTGGTCCTCCACGTTAAGCTTAAACGACTTGAACAGAACTTCAATCTCAAACTTGAGGTTGAGTTTCAGGTCGGGCACATCATAAATCTCGCTCATGGAATGAATAAGACCCATAACCCACGGGTTAGGCGGCTTGAAGATCTTTGACTTCTTGCATCCTTCGAGGATCTTGGCAACGAAAGGCGTCACAGCGATAAGGTGGCCAGACTCATAGCCCACGTACAGCAGCTCCTTCAAGTCCAAGTCACGCTGAAGCAGAGGCTTGTTGCGCGCGAGGGTGAATACACCGAGCCACGAGCCTAGATTCTTCAGTAATGAACGCTGCTGCGAGTTAGTCGTGATCGTTCCCGAGGTCAGCAATTTGCGAGCATTCTGAAGTGTACGCTTCAGGATCTCATGCTCAAGCTCTGGACGCACAAGCTTTTCGATGAAAATCAGATAAACTGTGTGGTAGTTCGGCTGGGTCGAGATACGCTTCACCACTAAATAGTTCGCCAGCCATGCGTGATACTCAGGTAGCAGCATCTTACGCACTTCCGGGATCTTTACTTCCAAGTTCGAGATGGACATGTTGTTCACAATGAAGTGGATACGATCCTTCACGTTTTCGTCCGGCTGCTCGATTACCTCACTTTCGTCCACTTTGCTCAAGTCGTGGAAAATATGGTCCACTATCAGCTCCGGGGCTGGGACAGCAGGAGGTGGCGGGGAGCCAGCTGGTGCATTGGGTGATGGAGATGTCAACGATGGACCTGCTGACCGACTCAAGATCGATGAAGGGATTTGGATTCCGATATCGTCTTGAGCCTTCGACGCAAGTGGTGGTGTTATAGCGCTAAAAGATGCGGCACTACTACTTAGCCTCGAAGTTCCATCTCCTTCAACCACACTGCCTAACGGTGGCAAGGAGCTACCCAATAACAAAGCAGTACCAGTGCCAGCACTCGCATCTCCTGAAGGTCCTGACACCGCGATTGAGCGAGTTACTTGGTTCACTTGACGCATAATTTCAGGCAGTGCGTGCTGCAAGTGAGGAATTTGCGACAGGTTTGTGCAGTACGCTGGCAACTCTCGCAACCGCGGGACAAACTGCTGCAACGCGCACGCCCCGAAGAAGAAGAACTTGGAGTTCACCGGCTCACGAAGACTTTCCAGCACAGAGCGCAAAGCAGTTTGCAAAAAATTGGGCGGGAGTACTTGGTGCTCGATCAACTTGCCGAAGAGAACACCCGTAATGCGCAACTCCATCTCCGGATACCGTGGAAAGAAACGATACTCGTCGAAGAGGTTGTGGATCATGCAGTAGAATATCTGGCACTCGCGTTCGTCGCGAGACCCATGGAAGCGTTTCAGCATCGCCACGACGTCGTTGATGTTCTGCTCAGACGTGTAAATCTGCTGAAAGTACGCGTTGGCCTGCTCCTCGATCATCTCCGCCGTATACGTCGGAGCATCACCGCCACTCGTGGCTCCCTCAGCTGCAATCCCCGCACCTGCTGCAGCTTCGGCACCAAAACCAGTGGCTGCTCCAAGTGCACCTGGTGTTTGCATTTTGCCAACTTCTCCAGCAGGGCGTGTAGACGCCGAGATAACGGGGTGTGCCTCCATGCACAGTGTGATAATACGCTTAAGCTCCTGAGAGATGGTAACGGGTAGCGCCCCCTGAACGGCCATGATACACTTAAGAATAGTCGCCAACGACTCAATAGACAGGACGTGGCTCGACTGCGGGGTTATGTTGCTCTTTGGCACCGCCCGAGCGTAGTTGCGGTGCACGAAGGCCAAGCATGACGTCGCAAACGCCGTCCGTTGAGACGCGAGACGCTCCACCAGCCACGTCTCTAAGTTTAGTACATCGTGGTTGGCTCCCATAGTAGCCAGTGCCAGAGCAAACGAGAAGTAGTTCGAGTGGATCGCGGATGCGAACGAGTCGCCCGTGTTGCGGAAGAGTGCGAATAGTCGCGACACAATGTGTGGCGCCGTCGCGGCATAAAAGCATTTGACGCTAGCGTACAGTACTAGTTTGGGCGCCACAGACCACAGGTGACGCATGATGAGTGGAGCGTTGGGACGACCCATAATGTACGTGCTAAAAAGCTCCGAGAACATGTCATCGCGCAGCGCGTTCCAACGAGGCGATGACTGGGCCAGGTTGGCGATCAGAACATCAGGGCACATCTTCATTGCACCATCCAAAAGCTTGCGAACGTCACCGTAGCAATCTTGCTCCGATACCTGCAGCAGCGTATCCACGATATCTAGCGAGAACCACACACCATTCTTGGGGACGGCTGACGCATCGGCACCTTCGAACGGCGCGAGCTTGTGTGGTGAATCAGAAAATGACAGAACTTCCGGTGGTGCCTCTACAGCGGCCTTCAGGATGCAAACATGCGCGCGGCTGTTCTTCCAGGGTCGAAGCAAAGTCGTCACACGGAACTTGGTCTGCGAGAACAGCTGGAAGGCTGTAATAAGGACACGTAGCTGAGCCACATTCTGGATGTTGAGGTCAGCCCGATCAAGCTTCTCCGCCACCTTCGTCCACTTAATAGAGCCGTAATCTTTCTGCAGCACATCAGCGATAACCTCGAGGTCCCACTTTTCCCGCACCGACACGGTGGCTGCCTCTTCCAACGCGGATGCCTCAAAATCAATCGTAAGATTCGCCATCAGCGTGGCTCCGTTCCTCGCGTCTAGACCCGTATAAGTACGCGAAAGCATGGCCAGCATCCCCGCAACCTGGGCTGGTGGGATCGTGGGTGCCTTTGCAAGTCCAGCCTCATCCAAGAGCGTTCGGAATGCCTGCGGGGATGCCGTGCACGAGTAGCCAACGTCTTCCATCAATTCATAGAACAGACAGCTCGAAGACACATCCGAGATGAGCTTGCTGAGAAAGTCCGAGTCCGTCCTGCGCTCGCAGTCTACGTGATCGGGGTCGCCCATGGTCAACGGGGCCATCTCGAGCGAACCCATGTCGTTCGGGTGCGCTGAGGAGATGCTAGCGAGGAATGAGTCAGTCTCGGCGATGTCGGCGTGGAATTCCTTCTTCATACGCAGCACAAAAACGAGCGAGTGGAGCACGTCCGAGGGAAGTTTGGCCCCACAGGACGAAATTTCAGGGATCTTGGTGCGCAGAAATTGGATGGCTTGCGAAGAGCTGTCGGCGTTCTCACCCTGGGCAAAGGCCAGACCGATCGTCACCTGCTGCGGGAGGCTGAGCTTCAGAATCTTGCAGAAAAGGTGGAGGAAATCCTCGGTCACGTATCGTCTACTGACGGCTGCGGAGTCGGGCGAGCTTCCTTCGATCGCCTGTCACAAAATATCAACAAAAATTATTATAATACCCCCAACATTGCGAAAAGATATGGAGAGACTACCTCGCAGATGAAAGTGGTGAAATTGGGGCGCGACGAGGCCTGAGCGATCTCGTGCGTGAGCAATTGGATCTTGAGCACGTCCTTCTGACCGCGAGCGTCGCGGAAGTCGATATCCTTGACAAGGCAGTTGAGTAGAAAGATACGAGCGTCTTCTCCATAGAGTTCCACGAGCTGCAATAGACGTCAGGTATAAACATAGTAAGTATACAAGTAGCCCTGAGGGAGGCAATCGAATGGGTAAAATGTTGGTACCTGGTTGAGCTCAGCCACATTGGACTTGAAGTTTTTCTTGCTGAGGTTGGTCACCAAATAATTGATCTGCCAGAACAGCGGCGACGCGAACGACACCATCTTGCGTCGCGGGCGGGTCCTGGGCGAGAGTGTAGGGAAATAATGGGGGGGGGGCTGCACCTTCCTCGCTGGCTGGTTGCGGTTGGTTGTGAAGAGCTACAGCGAGGAGGAAATCTGTGTTTTATACAAAATCATATGTTTAATTCAATGTATAAAACATACTTTAGAGCGACTCGACGAAGACGCGCTCTGGGCGGGAGAAGATGGCCACGACGCCGGCGCACGCGCTCCAATTTGATGCAGCACCCGAGGCCAGCGCCTTCTTCTTCGGCAATGTGCTGGGCCAAGGTTCCTACGCCAAGGTGAGTCGACGTAAAGCCCTGATGTTGTTGCAATGAGACTGACGCTGGATGGATGTCATTACTGTTGCTATTGCGTCCACCACTCGCAGGTTTTCCATGCGCAGTTGAAGAAGAGCCGCTTAGATTTCGCCGTAAAGGTGATGGATCAGAGCTTTATACGCAAGGAAAACAAGACGGCATTCGTACTTACGGAGCGCAAGGTCATGTCACGCCTTTCACACCCAAACATCGTCAAGTTCTACTGCAGCTTCCGCGTAAGGTGACCCGGATCCTTGAATGCCGTCGAGCTCGGCACTTGAACAGCGTTTAGCTGCTGGCTGAGTTGGTGCGGCACCGCAAACGGAACATATCTGCTCTCGTCGTCTCATCATTTTTGCGTCTGATTGTGAATACAGGACCATCACAGCTTGTACTTGGTTATGGAGCTGTGTCGCGGTGGTGATCTCTTCGGACTTATCAGGTGTGTGGTGCTACAGCGGCAATATGCTTTAAATTCTAATCTTGAGTAGTCAGGAGTATCAAAACCAACAGGAGCAAGGCGTGTCAGATGCAGCGTGCTCTTTCGAACTCACGCAATTCTACATGGCAGAGCTAATCAACGCATTAGAGTATATGCACTCTCAGGTACAGCAACTTCAAAGAGCGTGTATTTTGTCAATGTCGGATGGTCTAATATAGAAGGGGTCCTGGTGCAGCATGTCATTCACCGAGACATCAAACCTGACAACCTACTCCTCAGGTTCGCTGCAGAAGTGTGTGGATGTGTTGGGTCGACTCTAACGATAGCTTTTGCAGTAAGCACGGACACCTTAAAGTGACTGATTTTGGCACTGCAAAGGTAAGAGGGGCTCCCTCAATCTGTGACGTCTTGGGTGTAGTTACCGTGAATGATTTGCTTGTTTTGTTAATGAAGGATCAAGATGGGGAGAGTAGTGACGTATGCCAGTTTTGCGGCACGGCCTCATACGTGTCTCCGGAAGTTTTGCACGACAAACCGGCCTCACGAGCAGCCGACCTATGGGCTGTGGGCTGCTTGATCTTTCAGGTTTCCATTCGGCTCGACTCGAATCGTAGCTGTCAAATTAAAACTGCTGAGACGTAACAATCGTGTTTGTGTGTAGATGTTCACCGGGCGTGCTCCGTTCGTTGGAGAGAACGATTATCTTACTTTTCAAGTGGTACGACTGGTGCCTTACATTTCTGGAATCGATGTAAATACTAGTTACACTGACAGTGTGTGTGTATTTTTTGTTGTTGCAGATTATTAATCACTCGAGCGATGAATTCGAGTTTCCAAGTAGCGTCCCGGAAACCGCGCAAGATCTGATCCGCAAACTCCTTGTCCAGGTATCAATGTACTTAGTATCAACTCACAATATTGTTGATGAAATACAGACATGATGGGCAAACATACTCATCAATGCTGTGCACCCTTAGGAACCAGACGAACGTATTGGAGCTCAGCAGAACGAAGAAGGTTACGCCGAGCTGAAGGTTAGTTTAACTCTTTATTGTCAGCTGCCATGTCAACTGCGATATCTAACGCTGATGGCTGCGAAGAATCACCGTTTTTTTGAAGGCATCGATTGGAACACCATTGTCGATCAAACCCCACTGTACAACCCTCCGAAGCTTGATCTGCCAGAGCCAAAGCTGGTACGCGGACATCGTTTAATTTATCAGCAGCCCTAGGCGCGAGACTGAATTTTTGATGCAAAAGGATGGCGCTTCAGAAAACTGGACAGTCGCCGAGTACTTTTCAGACGATTACTCTGAGAGCACATCTGACGAATTCAGGTATTGTACATGTAGTGTCATGCAGAGTGGAAAGTTTTATTCAATCGTATTGCTGTGTCTATCTAAAGTAGCAGCAAGCGTTCGCGGAATAGCAGCTCGCTCCAGAGAAATCGACCTGCTTGTATCGGCTATGACGAGCAGATCCGCTTCGAATCCACCGTGAAAGTCCGCTCCAAGATGTTTAACCGCACTCGAGATGTATGTCATGTTTTGGCGAAGAAGGCGTTTGAGGCTGAAGTGCTAAGTTGTTTTGATTCCGCTAACAGCTCTACCTCACAGACGCCCCCCGATTGATCGTAATCAGTGCGTGGTCCGGCCGCTTTAAACGCGAGCTTTTCCTTACTCCAGATACTACTGTGAACGAAATTGATCCCCACACGTTTGACGTCGTAACGGTGCGTAATTCAAGAAAGTATCAACCATGCTGTGCTTGGTAGCTAGTTGGCTGATTCTATTGGGTATTTAGCGGTCAGAAACGATTCGAATTACGGACTCGAACAACCTGGCACAGCAGTGGGCGCGTGCCATTTTGGAAGCCGTCTCAGAATAGGTATTGCGTCACGCAGTTTGCGTGAATGGAGGTCGAGCCCGCTAAAGAAATACTTCGAAGTAATACAACAGCACGTAGGCCCTGTCGAAATCGAGGAGCTAAGTACACCGCTCACCCTAATTAGTCGTGTGACCTAAATAGTCATGCATCGTACTTATACGAAAGAAAACTGTGCATACACCTTAATTAGTCATACACCACAATTAAACATACACCAGGATTAGGCATGCTGGCAACAGCAGCCATGCATTCTGTTACTGTACTTTTCATTCGCAACCTCCAAGTGTTTTCTCACTTTAAAACAGGCATGGTAGAAGAAGTGCCGCGCAAGCTTCAGCAGGTCGTTCCTCTCTGCGATCGTGTACGGTGCACCGACTGGATGGAGCTGGATCAAGCTCTTCGAGGTTCTAAAGGTCTCTATGGTAGAACTATCGACTTCTTTCCTTCGCTGTTTCGCTCCTCAGATAGAAGGGTGAACATGAACAAGGCTCGCGACTGGTGGAAGAAGCGTGTTAGCACAGCTACAAGCCTAGAGGACCCTAAGCATCTCAAGTATGCGAGTGGAAGACAACGTATCCGACATCAATTCGTCGTAAAAGCTCTGGATGGTAGGGGCAGCAAATTAGCGGAGCACTGGATGTGGATGTACCCAATCTTACTGACAGAGTTTCAAAGACTACGGCGAGCTGGTGTCAAGCTCTCGAACCAGCTTGTCGCTGAAATGGGCGTCGTCCTCATTGAGGATAGTGAGCACCCACGCTTCAAATCTCGCTTCAGTGTCATGAACAAGCCATTTACTAGTCTTCTGACTCCTCGTCGCGTTCAAGACTTCTTGGAGCGCTACAACATCGTCTACAGGAGACACAAGGGCAAGAAGCAGGTCAGCGTTGAGAAACAGGCTCAGATCGACATATCTATAGCGAAGCACATGGGTGAGCTTAAGCGCCAGTTTGAAGAAGGAACGCTTCACCCTGATCAGCAGTACAGCATGGACGAAAGCCACTTCGTTATTGACCTTGACGATGGCAAGACGCTGGACTTCGTTGGATCACAGTCCGTCAAATATCGCAGCGTCGTGTCAGGTATGTAATATGGGATCTACGCAGTGATGATTTGAATTAACTGTGTTGCTTATATTATAGGTCGTGAGGGCATCACAATGTGTGTTCTTTTAAAAGGGGGTAGCGATGCACGCATCCTGTGTCCGATGCTGATATTCAAGAACAAGAACTCTAGCTACCCTGTTCAACATCTTGCCGATTCGACGCCTGGTGTGTGCTACCGGACTTCGCCGAGTGCGTTCATCAATGAACGCTTAATGTGTCAATGGCTGCGCGACCCAAGGTGCTGGGGACCGGGTGGACCGTTCGCGTCTGGACGGATTCTTTGGACGGACAACGCTAGTGGACATTGCGGTACAGACGTCGAGGACACAGCTCACGAACTGCGGACGAAGGTGAAGCTTTTCCCTGCTAACGCCACCGACAAAGTCCAGCCCGCAGACCGCTTCCCGATTCAGCGTATCAAGGACCACTGGCGTCGCCTTGCCGAGCGATGGAATACGGAAGCTATTCGGAATGGTGATTCGAAGACCGGCAATTCATCATCAGGAAAGCTTGCAAACCCTGGGAAGAAGCTCTTTCTTGAGCTGGCAGCTGAGTGCATCCGCCTCGTCAACTTAGAGAAAGACAAAAACGGAGAAAATTGGGCAAAGAAGTCCATGGTTCAGTGCGGCCTGGATCTTCCTCGTGACGGTGTCTGGAAAGTCGAGCAGCTCAGTAGAGAGCTTCAAGAGATTATTGCGATGTATCCTGACGCTTTTAACGACGGATACAAGGAAGCTGCCAGGTCTGCAGATATATAGTGGTACATTGTTTGTATTCATAATGCATAAATATATTTTTCTACTATTTCCAAAAGGACTTACATGGCAGTTTCAGCCCCTAAGGGATCCTTCTGTGTTATCGCTGCGCGCGGACTTGAACCCGCGATATTGCGCGTGGAACGACGCGGCTAAACCTCTCCACCAATGCCGTCGTTTATTACGAAAGTGCAAAAATGTCGCTCGTGACCTTTCTTGGAATAAACCGGTAATAGTCGTGCACATAATTTAGTCGTGCACCAAAATTGATTATGAGCAATTTTAAGCATTTTTGGGATGCACGGTAAATAGTCGTGCCACGACTAATTAGGGTGAACGGTGTAGCCATCTACTACAGTACTTAATACACTGTAGCAATTGGACAAAGTACGGAATGATCTGGAAAACATTTCACCTTTCCAACCTTTTTTGTAATTGACAAATTGACAGCGATGGCAGAATGTTTTTTGGAAGGAACGGCCACTTGTACCTTGAAGACTCGTCAATGATGAAGAGAAAAAAAAAATACGTTCGAGTAGAATCGTACCTAATTGCTAACACGCGGTACAGCATCTGTAATTTAACTCATAAAATACATGTATTTCAAAATTTGAAATCTCATGATTTATGAAAAGTGACACATCCTCTCCCATCCTCGTTCGCTCTGAGCCGTCCATTCGGAAAAGCGCAAATTCAGCACAAAGCTGCGTTTTGGAGAGGATATTTCTGCAACAGTGTACGGGTTTAAGGGGAATTGAATTGAGGTTCACGATGGGCTGTATAAGTTTTGACGCAATTTTGTTGTGCTTGTTAGGCTAAAGTCAAGTAGGAGCATGAATGACAGTGATCCCGAGCTACAAGTCCCACCGGACACTACGTGGGTCTGTCCGCCCATTGACGTTGAATGGCACGAAGACTGGGACGCTTCGCGCGCGTACATGGATGAGTACCAAGCGGAAACGCATCAGATCTTCCGCCAGCGGACATCCGTCTCGGTTTAAAAGCGGAATCAAGAAATATCTGGCCTGCCGAGGCTGTTCCAGACCGCTTCGCAACCACCTACAGCTCCGGTGGGGGCTGCAATTGCAGTGAAAGGTGCATATGAAGCAGCCTCTCAAGTTTCCGATTTTCCGGGGCGCTTGATCCCTGAATCATTCAAGAATTTCTGGGTCAAGCTAGTGTGTACGCATGGCTGGAAGAGAAAAAGTCGAGGAAAGGGGATACGCAAGGCGTACTTTGACAAATCCACCAGGTGCCACGCAAGTGTCAAGGCAGCAGTAACGTGGAACGACGCTGAGAGCAGGTTTATGGTGCGTGTTACTGGATTTATTGTCGTACACAACCACCAAGTGTTCAAAACCATCCTCAAGAACCACGTGTCCAATAGACGTGTCGAAGACCCCCATTTGTCGGCTTTTGTGGACGAACTTCATGCTGCAGGGTCCAAGCCCCGATTTCTCCGTAAGAAGACTGGTACGTTTAGCTGTATTGTAGTCTGTTATAATATGGTACTCTAACATCTACTTCTATCCATCCTTGTAGGCAAGAATGTTACGCTACGCGACGTACATAACATGGTGGCAAGGATGAATGAAAAACGCAGAGGAGGGTCCACGACGGAGGAACGATTAGAGGTGGCACTGAGAGAAATTTGTGAGAGCCGCGGTAATCGAGCCACTGTGTTCGTGGATGAGACGAAGACAGCACAAGCAATTACCATGCAAACTCGGCAGATGCGAAGGTGGTTCAAGGCTTTCCCGGAGGTTGTTCTAATCGACGCCTCGTATAACACCAACGACTCGCGGTACAAGTTGTTCTCATTCATGGTGAAGACATGTGCGGTCATGTAAGTCGTAGTACAACATTAGGCATGTGCTGCAGCTGCAGGCACTAGTGTTGTATCTGTAGGCACATGTGTTGTATTATAGAGTGTCGCTAGATACCAGTTGTACTCTTAAAAGTAAGGTATACAGAGCATGTAGATGTACTTACATTCTACTGTTGTTTGATTTTAGGGCCAATACGTACAGCACAGTCTCATGGAGAATGAAAGCGCCGAATGTCTGTCAGACGCAATCAGTGCCTTCAAGTTCAACAATCCATCGTGGGATCAGATCAAGGTTATTGTCATCGGCAAGGACATGGAAGAGTTGGGGTTACTAGAGAGCGAGTTTTCTGATGTTAAGGTGATTCTATGTCACTTTTGCTTAAAGAATTACATTCGAACTGAGATGACAAAGAGCGAGTACGGTGGACCGTCGAGTTTTGACAAAGACCAAGTGGAAGATGCTGTGGACATGATGCGACTGGCGTCATCCGCTGAGGAATACACGAAGCATCTGAAGTATTTGTACTTCCTATTGGATAGTGTCCATCTCGTGGAGAATGATCCAGTCCCGGAGCCACAGCACCTATTTTTAAAATAATTCATGAAAAACTGGGACTCTATGAAAGAACGATGGGCTCTATACGCTCGTTTAGATGTTCTGCACCTCGGCAATCACACCAATAACAGGTTCGTAAATCAATAATTTTACGTTATCCTATTTATTTAAAATCTTATCTTTGCTCGTTTTCAATTTGATGTCCAGACTCGAAACCTCGTGGGGGCACATCAAGGAAGTGCTAAAACCAGAAATGGCGCTTGATGAAAGTGTTAATACCCTGATGTTCCAGCAAGCCGTAGCAGAGATGGAGTACACCAAGAAGATTACAGATGTGGGTCAAATGCGGTACGATGGAGCGGACGATGAGCTGAAGAATCTGGCCAGCTAGGTGAGTCCCTATGCATACAAATTGGTGGAGGAGCAATACTGGCTGCCCAAGGATCGAGCAACACATTACGAGATGCAGGAAATTCATTCAAGTTTGTTTGTTCTTACTGGTGGAGACCCGACTTCGTATCACGTTGACACGGTGATACGCATTTTAACGTTTTGTATTTTTCTTGTTATAATATTTAACTGTTTTTACAATGTGCCTAGCGATATCGGTGCCCATGCGTGTTCATGAGAACCATGCTACTACCCTGTCGTCACGTCATGTACTGACGTTTGATGGAGAGTAAGTCAGCGATTCCCATTCGTCACATTGCGCCACGTTGGAAACGGTCTTTCAAGCTGAATCAGTCTGCTGCTGA